AAGAGTTGTCAGTGTGGATCATCCTTAGTCTTTGGAATGTTTGCAGCTACAGCAGCTGAAAGTCTGCCCTTCTGCATGTTTAAAATACTGTCTTGACAATGCAATGCTGACTGACCTAGCAGACCAACAGTAGTACAGTTGGTGCCAGCAGACTGCAGAAAGGAGTGGGGCCAAAGGTTTCCCATAGCAAACGCTGGGGCTGACTCCCCAACGCACGTATGATCTAAGCAAGCATGTTAAGAGCTTGCAGAAGATTGCCTACGTAACTTGGAAATACAGGACAGCTAGTTTTTGCTGGTGTCCCGATACCCATACCAAGACAGGTGAAATACACCTACCACCTCCAGATGAATTCCACAAGCCAGAAGAGAATGTGCTTCACATACATAAGTAAAATCCCTTGCTGGCAGGTTTGCAGAAACAAAATTTTATTTACACAGGCAAGTCTATCTTTAGACCCCTCTGAACTCTTTACATTTCTAGAATATTTACAGGATTTCAAGATGCTCCAAGAATAGAGTGATGAACAACAACAAAAAAAAAAATTACAGAAACTGTCAAAAGCATAGCAAAAAAACCCAACCTATCATTGTGCTTTAAAACTTATGATCTAGAGCAATGTAGAAGAAATGTAATTTTAGCACCTTGGTCATAACGGTCATGCTATATAAGACACTTAAATAGCAGGGGGGATGTCAGAAGTGACCGTATCCAGAGGTTGCCAGTGACAATTCATGAGGGAATCATAGAGTTCTTCACTTGTCTCCATAAATTGTCTGTTCATTTCATCAACATCCAAGTAAAGCTGTGGATCTAAAAAAAAAAACACCCCTAAGTACAAGAGTCAAAGCTTGGGAGGCGCACACACAGAAACCTGAAATAAACATGGTTTTAGCTAAATATAATAATAGATTTAATGAAGATGTTTATTCATCTAGAATACTTTAATAAGCCTGTCAAGACAACTTTGAGTTTGTGTATTAGAATGCTAGGGCTATACTGCTATTTCAAAATAAAGAGCAGATTTAGGGATAATTAACCATGAAACTCTCCTAAAATCCACTTAATTCATTTCTACTATAATATGCATTATGCAGGATAAAGTTTCTGCCCACTAACACAGAATGTGTTATGTGAGAAATCATCTGCAAACCTTCCAGGCCAAACAATTGAGTTTTGTATCAAGTCTTGTGCAAGCTGAATACTCCTTTCAGGACCTGCAACATAAGCTTTTATGTAAGGGTTTGGGAAACAAAGCTTTTGCCTATTAATAAGTTTAACATAGAATATGCTTAGCAGAATGAATACAAGGATATGACAAACCCTGTATTAGGCCATTTTGGAAGGAGAATGAGGGCAAAATTACAGGAAATCTACACTGAAGTGTTTCTGACAACATCCCATGCTACTTGACAAGGTGGGTACTATCAACTTTAAAATTCCACCTCACCTCAGCTATAACCCATAGAGGATCCCACTACATCAACTGACTTTCCAAGATACTCTTCATCCAACAGTAATTGTTAAAGAGCACAAGTATGGCTAAATTCATGTTGCAGTGATAGAATCATTACCTTCAGTTATTAGGTCATCACTGATTTCAGTCATAGCTGCAGTTTCCTTAAAAAGAAAAGAAAAATCTCGTAAGTTTAATCAAAATACATCTCAAAAATCACCACAAATCCAAAATGTTTTTTGTTCCCGAACAATGCACTCCTACCACAAGTACAAGAATAGAGGGGTGGTTTGTTTGGTTAATCGTTAATTTGTTCTTTTAAGAAAAACATAGTGAAGGTTGGAAGGGACTTCTGGAAGCTGTAATTGATAAAACCATCTTGCAATAATTCTTTAATTTGCTTTAAGCAAAGTACCTCAGAAAAACAGCACAGTTATGCTGTCAAAACTTGTTTGGCATACATGAACAAATAAAGGTATGTACATTTCTAATTCTATAGGTGTACTAAAGCAGTTAAAGAGACCTCTGAATGAAGCCTGCTATTCTAACCTTCACACTAAGTAGGAAGCATGATCTCAGTTTTAGGACTTTTTTAATCTTACACAACTTGGACAACTTTTTTTTTTTTGCCTTTAAATCAAGTTGTAGTATCTTTACCTCAAAAACAGCTGGAGCCATAACAGCATCTCCTAAAGAGCAGTCCCCCACAGTTTGCATGCTATCATAGGGAGCATAGGAGCTGTAGTTGTATTCAGTGTAAGGATCATAACCCCACTGTGAGTAGTAGTTCTGATAATCTTGGTAATAATCATTATAGTTGTACGACTGGTACCGCTGGAATTCTGCTTTCAGTCTGAAACATGAGAAGTGATATAGAGATCGATAAGCAGCAAACCCTGAAGTTAAAACAGTCTGAAATGTGTAAGCTAGTAGAGTTAAAAAGGAAGCTTTCCTGAACAGCAGCGAAGTCACTGCACAAGATCTCATGTTTATACAGAAGCAAAAGCTCTCACCTTTGCCAATATGCAATGTAATTATTTTCATAGATTAACTCAAGCCTTGACACTTAGCTGTATTCATTTTCAGTACTTTTTGTATCTCCATAAGCAAGCTGCTGCTAAATCTTTGTGCTCTGCCAGAAACTGATTTATTAAGACCAGAGACATTTATCAAGCACAGCTGCTTTAAAAAATGCACTCAGTCTTAATTAGCCCTTCATCTTTTGTTTGGTTGATACATGTTATTTCCAGAAGCAAGGGGGTGGTGAAGTCAGATTATCAGGGAAGCATCAGACACTGCCTGCCAGTTTGCCACATCTACCTCCACCAGCTCAGTTTTTAGTCCATGAAGCATTCAACAGTGGCTGAAGTATAGCTGTCACAAAGTCAGCACTGCCACTATCCAGCATGAAGCCAAACCGGCAGGAAAATGACAAAATGCATTGGTCCTTAAGACCAATGGGCCAGCTGATTAGTCTTCACTACTTTCCCTCTCCCAAGTAGAATTTCTCAGAGATAACTTCACACCAACGACAAGAATCAATGCATAAGCGTTGCCTGTACTGAGGTACACTATGTGAAACACATTCACATAATCCAGCTGCACATTCCAAAAAAAGTCCTCTATGCTTAGACATTTCTTCACTGATTATGTACAGGCAGATCTCCTGTGTTTGCAGGGTCCAATTTCTCCACATCTCCACTTCATTATGGAAAAGTCAGATCTAGGCTTTTTGTGTTTCCAATAGAGGTGACCTAGTGACAAACTGATGGCTGAGTATTTTGATGCTAGGAGAGTGCAGTACTCAACCATTCAGAAACAAATATAGATTAGTGACATGTATTTTAACACCGATGTTACATTTTTTTCATTACTGCAGAGCTACGCATTCTAGTAAATAGGTATTCTACTGCTTTCCTACTTTAGTAAAACTAATGGGTAGTGTGCCAAAGCCTTCTGCTTCCAACTTCTCTCCTATATAAATCTCTGTAGGAAAGAAAAATCTGAAAATGCCATTGACATTCTTCTGGAGAGCAGAAGTGAGAAAACCTGATTTTGTGACCTCTTCTGGTTTTCAAAATAATTTAGAGCAATTCTGGACAGTGCTCTCTTGGGCAGAAGCACTACCATTCTAAAGCAAAGGCAGCAACATTTGCAGAATTATCCAAGATAAGGAGAAACAAATTATTACTACTAATTAACAAAACATACAAGCTAACCCCATGAATATACTGAAATTTATTTATACCAAGTTCTGGTTTTGTCTGTATCCTGGATCAAAGTTTATCAAATTTGGTATCAATTCTTTAACTGTTCAGAGACCTGAATTGCCTCCAAGTAACTGATTGAGAGAACTGAGCCAGCAGAGTAAAAAACCTCTCAAAACCAATCAACTTTAAATTCCCTGCTGGTCCAATCTCTTGAAAAGCTAAAGAACAGTACCCTAAACAAACTATTCTAGCAATATGTCCCTTGGCTTCCCCCCCCCCATATTCTGTGTTTTTGCCACTTGAAAGTTCCTTCCCCTGCCAGTCTACCATCAAACTAGCAACGTGCCACCTTGCCTAAACTGGAGGGAAATCTCTAGAAGAAATGCTCCCCAGCATACAAAGCCTCGTTTTCCCTTCTACCTTCTTCAGGCCCAAACCTGGAAAATATTTATGAATGCATTCAGCTATACTACTATAAAAATTAAGGCTAGTTAGAACAGCAGCTAAGCCCAAGTTACACAGTCTGGCTAGACTTAAGAGCTGGATTCCACCAGCAATCCTGAAAGAGGTTGATGAATCCAGGACATCAAAACGTAATGCTTCTGTATTTCTGGTTTTGTAGACTGCACTGTGTGTACAGCCATTATAGCAAGAGCCACAGACTTTACAGAGGCAGAGCTACAAGAATCTGATCATTTAGAATTACTGTATCAATGTACAACTCATTTGTTACCTTTTAGAAATTCCTATGCTCAGCCGGATTCGTTTTCCCCCCAGACCTGGTGCATTCTGGCAGTCTTGCAGTGCCCTCATCTGATCACCTTGCTCACCAAATCTGACAAAGGCATACCCTCTACAATTTTCAAAAGGGAGAAAATAAATTCTAGTATGCATAACAGTTACAAAGCTAATGAATTCAATTTCTGGCTTCTAAAAAAAAAAAAAACACCCAGAAAATAGTAGCTAGTATAGCTTCTATTACCAAAGCAGCCTCTCTGGTACGTGCACATGCACAAAAAATGCTTTCACCAAATTAAAAACTTGGGCCAGATGCAAAAAAGCTTGTTCTTTGATAACATTAAAATGCAACTTGCTGAGAGCCAGCGAAACAATACACTTTAATTGCTATCTGTGTAATCTGGTTCTGTACTTCTGCATTTATAGCAGTTAATTGATCAGTTAGTATTAACCCACTTCTACGGCTGTAGAGAACTAACATTCTTTTTATATTTGCTTTCTCTTAAGTTTCTTCAATTCAGTGTATTACAGCCAGCATTGTCTGAACAGCATGCTCTTATCCCTGCTTGACTCACTGCCTGGCCAGCCTAACTTCTGCTAGGCTTTATTTACTAATATTAATAGGTCCAGTCTCCCAACCCTTTAAGATTTGCCAGGCCTTATGCTTTTCTCCCACACGTAAGGAGGGAATTATTTTGTCTTCAATACAGCAACAGTACAGCAAATGATTAAGTGGACACGCCGCTGTACATAAATGCAATGGCACAGACTTAAGTATACAGCCCTCCCTCCTCCCACCATCTACTTTCTTGCATGCACATTTACGTATGGCTAAACAGAAGTTTCACATTAACTGCCAAAACTACCCAGAAAGTTCTAGAAACACAAGGATCCATGCTATTTAGAAAAAAAAAAGTAATGCTAGTGACTACTCTCTTCTCCTGCCTCTGAAGAAAATGAAGAAAGAGTCCAATGCAAGTTCTCAGGTATTACTTATAAAAGCAAACATTGACAGCATTACAAGTGTTCACAGGCATTACCTGGAATATCCCAGCAGGTCTGTTGCTATTTTGCAGTCAATACATGAGGGGTATCTCTTTAGAAAATAGTCATAGAGCTGGAAATCATCCACTTCTGGAGTCAGCTCCCCAACAAATATAGAATAATCTGGCCTTTAAAAAGTTAATAGAGAACAACTGTCAATTTTGAGACCAAGGTAGCTGACTGCAGTGTTAAGGTACCTAACATATAAGCAGGTAGTTATCACTGGACAAATAAGGAGACAAAATGTGAAAAGAGTATTAACTGCAAAACTGCTGAGTAATGCACAGAACTGCAAGCCATCACTCCAGCAGAAAAGTTCATTTCTCTGGGTCCATTCCACTACTTTTGCCAAAAAAAAAAAAAAAGGCATTTCAGACCCATTCTGTAAGAAACTTTTACAAGTTGGTTTTAAAAAGAAATATTTATTGTCTGAATGGGAAGCAGGGAAGGAGGCACAAAAATGCCAAGAAAAACTATTAACTAAAGTTGCAGCCACCATTTAAGAGAGCTATGACTATTTTGCCACCGCTTCTCAGTGATTATGGGAGATAAGAACTACAAAAAAACCCAACTTCGTTAATGTATTAGCAACACATTTCCATTAGCAATACTTATTGTCTAAGCACCAGATGTGCCTTTTCAGTATTCTAAAAACAAGTGATGGCATTCACTGGTCACTATCAGCTTAAACAGGTAAGGGGTCAGAGCTTCTCATTTCAAAAGGTCTTTACCTGACTGAGCTATTGGTACTACTAGGGACAAACTCTATTCTTCCTGGTTTTATTTTGTTCTTTTTCTTCCGTTTCTTCTGTGGTGTTCTCCACCAGCTGTAGGCCTGCAGACATTCTCTTTTTTTCGCCATTAAGTCCTGTTGGGATAAAAAAGATCACCTTTATAATATTTAGCCTCATTTACATTCCTCCCTCCCACTCCCCATCACCACAGGTGATTTCCCCATATTCACCTTGCCCTTGAAAGAAGCCTGGGGTCCCATTTCTCCCTCCGCCTCCCATGAGGGAAAGCAGCCTCTGGGGAAAACGCCTGGCAAAAATAACAGAGCCAAAGGATTGTATGAACAGCCATATTCCCCTGACTTGTCAAGCTGGCTAAAGGACTGACAGCTTCCTCTTGGAATTAGGGAAAAAGCAGATGCCCTTTGACGTTGGCCAATCCTAAGTGTTAGTTACCTTCAGGACTGGACTGTGTTCCACTTGAGCTCCAGGACTCTGAAAAAACCCTGCAGCAGCACAGTCGGAGTGATGAAGAGGCAGGGAAGTCACTCTTGCCTCGAGGGGATCTCAGCTGTCCCTATCTCCCCTCACCTAGGAATTCTCTGTGAGATGCCTCTCCTCACTACCTAGCTATGAGTCACTATACCAGGCCAGGAACAACGACAGGAGGCCGACTAATGGAATATAAGGAGAAAGCAGACCAGGAACAGGCACTAGCTTGGCTTGGCTGAGGGAAAACTCAAACCCAGACCCAAGGCCAGGAAAAAGAGAGGCGATAAAAAGTGCCTCTTGGGGGGAAGAAAAAAAAAAAGAGGCGCCAACACACCCCACACCAAAACCCCAAAAACCACAATTTCAAAAGAAAGCGGGGCAACTACACAAAAGAAGAGGGAAACAACAGCCATGTTAACACAGGCTGCCCCTCCCTCAAGATTCTGAAGAACGAGGATTTCCAAAAAAATGAGAGTGATGTTTCGCAGCATTTTTTACTTACGCAGACTTTAATGTTCTTCCTTTAGAACACCTCTACATATATCTTATATAGAGAGTGTTATGTGCAAGGTCCTTCAGAAGACCTCATGCTCAAATAATCCAAACTGCAAAGCTTAATGTTATGTCCCCAACCTGCTTCAGTTGTTACGATTAAGTGTCCAGAGGACAGCCACCATTTACCATATTACTGGAAGAAATTATAGGACTAAAAGAACATCCAACTCAGAGCAAGCTAGCTATTTCAGCTTTACATTTACTAGAAATTCTGAGTATGGTTTTGGAATCCATTTAGGCACTGCAAGCCTGAATTTCTGACCACATGATCTTACCTGGCTTGCCATGCTTCAAACGGTCTCCTGCCTTCCCCGAAGAACACGGCTGCACAGGTTCAGTTTACTGCACTCCTTCAGCTGAAAGGGGTGTGGGCAAAGACAAAAAGATAAAGAACCTTAACATGAATTACTTTCACATATGTTCACCCCACCTCACGTTTTCAATGTTATTAATCCAGAACTTGAAGTTCTGACTTCTCACTGCTAAAGCAATGGAGAGAAAGATATATGGCCAAATGGGCCTATGTTTATAAGTCACCTTCACTTTTAAGTTGTCATAGGCCACAAAGCTTTCCTACTGCCCAAAGCACTAGAAAATTACATAAAAACTTTTAAGTCACCTATACCTTACCCTTATTTCTGAAATTCCTACACAGAATGATACAGTGATTCAGAAGATCCATGTTCTCCAACAAGGCAAAGATAGAAGCTTCAGTATGTTTTGTACAACCCCTCAGTTTCTACCGCTTTTATCCAAATTAAAAGTTGATTTATTTGTACCACAAATTATACAGCTAAAAACAATCAGTGGTACTTCCTATCTGCTAAGGGACAGAAATGAGAGGGAGGACAGCACAGTACAGGTAAAACGGCATCTTCCTCTGCACCTTTTCTTAATAAGTCTTGTCTCTTTCATCTCTTCCATATACACATTTCACTCGCTACCAGTGAGTTAGCAACTACAAATGCCCTTCTACTGCTACCACTAAGCCAGTGGATAGATTTTCCTGAAAAATTATGTACCTCTGTTGATTCTGATACAATTTCTTTAAGCTTTTTTCCCTAGTCATCCAATCAATATAAATCAATGCAGAAAATTTCATTTGCAAAATATTTTGCATCTACTTCTACATGCAGATTTTCAATCACCACTGCCAATTTTTTATGTCCCATTTTGCTCCTTCTATGTAGACACTTGATTGCAAGACTTACATACCATTTCTGTGCATAAACATATGTAATGTTTTATGTACTGGCTGGTCAAATCCACATAATACAGTAAGTACACAATGATTGCAATGCCTGGAAGGCTTGCCCACACAGGCAAACTGTTCAGTACACTACTTCTGAAAAGGGATTAGGCTAACCTAACATAGGATAGCATACACCATAATTAAGAGCATCAATGCATGGTGTTATTCAGGATAACTACACACTTCATCCCCACCCCCACGCTAAAGCCAAGATAACAGTAAAGTACAGGCCAGCCCTTAAATATCGCCATACACCAATAAGGTTAGCATATGTCCTCTTACTAAACCTAAATGTGTTCATTACAAAGAATTATCAGTAGCAATTTTTTCCTGTTAAAGAAGGTCATTATTAAGAACAGTATCAACACAGTGACATTCCTCAAATTCAAGTATTACTGTTATTTAAAGGAACCATAAACTCCTCCATGCTCTGAATGCTGAAATACAAATTCTTGAATTCACAGCTGCATAATGATTTAACTTACCACTCTTTATTCGTGCGGATTTAACAGAAGATGGCACGCACTACAAAGCGGTTTTATTGCAAAAGACTACCCGACAGCAAGTGATGCAATTGTTTCCCGATCACTGTTGTTCAGGACCTCACGCAAAACTGCGTTACCGTCCTCTTTCCCCGTATGATCTTAACTGTCGCCACTTGATCTTTTCACTAGAAAATTAAAAAAAAAAAAAATTAAAAAGCAGTTAAAACGACATTGCTTTAACTCTAGCTACAGTCACAGGTAGGAAGAGTGCGGCAGCTTTAACCTCCGGAATCCAAACGCCTCCTCAATCTGCCCAGATGCGCCTTCCACCAGCCCTTTTATTGCACGTTCTTCTTATTGTGACGTCTGCACTGGTGAAAACGCGGATGAAGCCACCCACCAACCGAACGGCAAACCCAAGCTCGGAGGACAAGCCATCCCCTTCCGCGTTCATTTCGCTCACGTGTGGAGCTGGGTCGGGACGGCGGGCCGGGGGCAGCCTCCCCGAGC